ACCCTATGTGTACCCTTAAGGGTCCCCCCAAACCGGAAAGCCCGGCGAGGCTCCGTGCCTTCTGAAGCTGATCGTCCTGCCAGTGCTGTCTCAAAGAGTTCGCAGATCCCATGGGCTTATAGGGTTTATAGGGTTTATAGGGTTTATAGGGTTTAGGGTTTAGGGTTTAGGGTTAGATCCCATGGGCCCATCGGTTAGTTCGCCACCCTTTTTGTGGCAAACGACACCTCTCACCCGAGACCAAGGAACCATGGCCAAGACATTGCTGATGAGTTTTCTGTCGGACCTTCTTTGCCCCAAACTCTCTGGCTGCATGGCTGCCCGAGCCTTCGGCGGGCTTTGCGCGTAGACCGTCTGCCTAGGCTTCCACCTGGACAAGGCGCTTCAAAGCTTCTGATTTTTAGAGCTTACTGCAGGTGTATGCAAAGAGCTACGAGGAAAATGCTGCCTGGGAAAATTGCGAAAGCAAAATCCGAGGGCATCGCGGCTGAACGGGCTTTCCCGTGATGCCGTTGGAGGGCCTAGCAGCGAGTGGCCGGATTGTTTGGTCACTGCTTGCATAGACTGGTAGACTGGCCCAGATTGCCTTGCATTGGGCCCCAAACCGTAAACCCTCAAGTCACACACATGTCAAAACCTCCGCATCCTGTAGGCCCCCAACCGACAATACCAAGTGCGATGCCGCCGTGCCCTCCCTCTGCTCATGCACGGCCCGGCCTAGAGAAAGGTAGTTGTGCTCCCGAGCCTGGCAGAAGTTCTGGTGCGCTGAGTACGGCGCCGGGTTTTTTTAACAACTTTATGCATGGATCCTTCCAACAGCACCATCACAAAGAAAATCCTGAAGTATGCTTGTGATATTCATGAAAATGTTCTGTGGAAGATCCTGCCTGGCTCGCTTGACCCCTCTTCACCCCAAGGTGTTTTTCGTAAGATGGCCCGCCGCCTGCGCCTTTCTCCCATCGCTTTGCCTCGGCCTGCAATGCGAGAGCGAACGAGGCTTGTGCTTTGGTGATCGTGAAAGCTTGGGAGTTTCGGCTCTGGGAGATTGAGTCGCAGGCTGAACCGCCGGGGCTTCACCGACCCTGCCCAAATGAACTGAAGCTGCCCGCGCTTTCCTCCAACAATACTTGTGCTTCTACATCTACATAATCCTCCATACCCTCTTCCCAACAGCAGCCTCCTTGTCAACGCCATCCTCAGCTTCAGCATCATCATGATGACCACAAGAATCATCACCACCACCGTGATCGATATCACTGTCATCACAATCGCCATCATCACCACCACCGCCGACGGCATCATCAGCAACATAATACACAGCATCATCGACATCATCTTGTTCAGCTTCTGCATCTGCATCTTTATCTACGAATTCATTAACCCCTTCAACACCAACGTCAGCATCATGATGAACAACAAGAGCAGCATCACCTCCATCACCACAGCCTTTATCACCGACACCATCACCACGAGTGCACCACGCATCATCTTCGTCTTATGCCAATATCTACCACCAACAAGACACATCGGAAACACCCGTGGTAGAATTCATATGGGGACCCTTGAAGCCGCAGTCACGAACATAAGGATAAAGCTTTGCCTGCTGCGAGTAGTCTAGGAGCATCTCGTGCCCTGGACCTTAGTGGAGCAGTGGGTGCAGGCCTCACGACCGGGTCAAACGATGATGGAGGGTATCGATCCTTACCTGTAATTACAGCAACGATCCATGCGTTTGTGCTCGAGAAAGGGAGTGTAAACAGGGTACCCTGAATATATGACCCCCCAATAGGAGGATCCTCACCAGTACAATCAGGACCCCGTCAAGGCAACATGCGTCTTCTGAAACCACGGATGCTAGACCATCGAGCGCCCACGCAGCCTCTCTGAGTCGCGGGCTTTCGCCCCACCTGAGCTAGCTGCTGCGCGAGGTCGGGACGCTTCAATGTGTGAAGGCGACGCAAGACCACTGATCAATTAAGGTTAGGCGCAAGCAGCTGAAATCCCAAAGCCCCTTCTGTAGGGCTTACAGGCCATGGGGCGCCGTAAACCCCAATAGCGAAACTCAGAACCGCGATGCACAAGAATCTACAACTGATCCGAACAACCACCGTCGACAATCCTATGTTGGACTGCAGTAACAAGCATACAGCAATCCACTCGGAGGAGAGAAGCTGTGAAGCCGTTCTCGAGAAGCTGGGTAAAGGCTCGTCAAGGCTATTTGTTCGGATACGGTGCCAGCAGGTAAACATCAATTGCCAAACACACTGATTGGGAAAACCTGCCGCTGTGGGCTACATGCCCACACAAGTCAAGAACAATTGCTGCTTTCGGTCATCCAAAAACAAGAGTGGGGAACATTATTTCCTTCGGACACACGCCGTACATGTCAAACAAGGTATCACATCTGCTTGCTCTAGGTTGTGCTAAATCTGCAGCCTTAGATTTTGCCAGTCCATGTCAAACAAGATTGGGGGTTAACCGGCCGACTTGGATTACATGCCAATACATATCAAACAATGTTGGTTGGATCAAATTTGCCGCTTGGGTTGCATATCCGTTCATGCCAAACATGATCGGAGTACACCTGTTGCCACGGGTTCCATGCCAGTACATGCAAACGAAATAGGAGTAGTTATATCTGTCGCGTTGGCCTACATGATGCCCATGCACGTCAAACAAGATCCATGTATTTCTACCACTTTGGTTTACATTGCTCATGCATGTCAATGCAGGATGGTGCAAGTCTATCGTGAGGGGTTGTGTTCCAATGCATGTCTCACAAAACGAAAGTAGATCTGCCACTCTAGACTGCGCACATGCCGCAACAGATCTGCGACTTTCGGTATCTTTGGGTTGCATGCCCACGTTGTGTTCAGTCGAGACTGTGGTATTTGCCGCTTTGGTTACACTTCCATACATGCCACACAAGATTGGGAAAATATGTCGTCTTGGATTCCGTGCCAATGCATGTCACAAGATTCAGGTGTTTCTTTCGGTTTTGTCGCTTTGGTTTACCTTCCTTTGCCACTTCTTGGCACAGCCGTGAACTCGGACTATCGTCGATCGACGACTCGAGATGGCTCGAGCGTGCCGAGCTGGCTGGGATCTCCGCGTGAAGGTGTCGGACTTCACGTAGTTGTGGCTTTTGACCTCGAGGTATACACTGTTGGGGTGAGGCGGCGGTTTAGAAATGGCGTCGCGAGAAGAGTCCTACGGGAGTTGAAAGCCAGCCCGGCCCAGTTTGAGAGTCCCCTATCATTACCACTACCACTTTACCACTACCATCCACTACCCCAACCTCTAGCACTGCTACTGTTGCTGCCATCATAGTGAGGCCCAAACAACCTCCCCCACATCTTCGATCACCCCGCACACTCTCACACCGGTGCTCACCACATGTTCCCTTCTCCCACTTTGCGAGGGCCAATGGCCCTGAAAGCTGCGCTCTGCAGCTTGCAGAACTCTACGGTATGCATGTACAATATGTGTATGTACATATATATATATATAATGAAACATATATATATATGTACATACCTATAAACCTATAATTATACATGTATGTATGATAGTCTCATGAACTCCTTCTGGCCCCCATGGTGCCGTCATCCAGGAGTCATCCAGCTCGTGCGATTCAATTCAGTGGCTCCCTTCACCGCGCCTCGCCCATCCAGCCCTGTCCAGTCCTACCCACTTCCGAGTTCATACACCCTCAGAACTGGTTCCCTGTTGGGGCTATATTAAAAATGATCATGGGTTTTATTACAAAAAAATGTAGAATTTTATCCAACAAGGACCCAGCTCAGAAAGGGAAGCTGCTTTTCCGAACCCATGCCCGACACGGGCTTAGACTTAGACGCTGGGGCCCATACAAAACGCGCCACCTCCAGGCTGTCCTGCACATTGAACTCGAGCTCCTCGGCTTCTTCACACGTCGCAAGATCTTGGGGCGGGCCGCGAATGCGCCTCAACACAAGAAGAAAAGCAACTACACTTCAGAGTGACGAACGGAGAGCATGTTGGTTATTTTGCTGAAACTGGTGAAATATAGGGCTGCTGGCAAAACCTACCAAAAAATAGCTGACAGCGCTTCACACGCGACGCCATCAACTCCCAAAGCCAAAAAGCACTGAGAAGCAGATCCTGCAACGAGGACAGCACAACCAGCAGAATCTACACAACACACATCAACACAACTCAACACACACTACACTGCCAACCACCGCCACGACTATGACAACAGCTAGCGCTACCAGCTACCACCGCCACCACCGCCTTCGCCACCCCAAGATGCACACAGCTACAACAACAACAACAACAACAACAACAACAACAAGGAACAAACAAAAACAGGGACCCCGTCAACCCATATAT